TTCCACCTTGGTTGCAATCATCCGTTCCCCATATTAATAAAAACCCCCCTAATAATAAATAATAAATCCGGGACCCTAAAAATTCCTCATGAGCATTTTAAAAGGGGCTGTACTAATTTTAAAAGGAGCCAGACCATAATGAATTAGGGGGGTTTTGAGGTCATTATAAAAGGAACTGCTATAATTAATTAATTCATTAACCCATTAATTAGAATTAATCAATTAATTAGTTACTTAATTAATTAATTAATTAGTTAATTAATTCACTAATTAATTAATTCATTAATTACTTTCATAGAATTAATTAGTTAATTAATTAATTCATTAACTAATTAATAAATCAATTTACTTTTAATTTGATTTCAATTGATTTTAAAAGGAATTTAAAGGCGGCCCTACCAAATCCTCTCAATAAATATTCCCCCCTAATAATAAATAATTACTGACCGCCCGGATTATTTATTATTAGGGGGGAGGGGGGGGGGACGTCGTTTATTATTAGGGGGAAGGGATTACGTAGTTTAAATAAATGTTGAGTAGGCCCCCGGATAAATGTTTGGTGGGCGTCCATCATCGCATCAAGAAAGAGTTACTGTTCATTATAGGCAGTCTGCAATATCTGGGCTAGGACATGACATGACAAGCAGTGTCCCAGTGCATCCCAGTACTATAACATGTTCTGCACGAAACAGAGAAAAAGGTGGAGCCTCAGCGTCGAAGGCCGTCCCTTTGTATCTAGACAGCGAGGCTGTCGGAGGCAAGGGTGCCAAGATGCCCAAATCAGCGTCAAAGTCAGGAATGGCTGGAGTTCTGGCAGCGGCATGGACCACTATCTCCCTGCATCTCGGATGCTGCTCAGGGGATAATTGCCTAACTACGAAGTCCAAAGCAAACTGTACATAACAAAGACCTCCAACGGTCAAGCACAAGCAAAATTGCCGCAAGCATTTTGCGGTCTTCGGTGCCATGGCTCCATGCGAGGACTGTAGATTCTAAGTCATCTGTAACCTCATATACCCTGAGCCAAGCTGCCAACACAGAATCAACACAGGTCACAGCAGAATTAAAGCCCTCCTGACCTACGCAGAAACACATGTTAGCGGCACGCAATCGCCCTTTGCTTGTCCCATGCCAAGTGAATTAATTCATCCAGTGGAAATGTTTCCCCCCTCATCGGGAAATGGAGACCAATTGTATCTTGGAGACCAATTGTATCTTAGTCTGGGAGAGTCATTACTTGCTGAACAGCTGTTTCGTGCCGCCTGCAAAGCTGTCTGAAGAAAGGAACATGCGCACTGGGGGGACCCAAGGCCAATCCTGAACGAAGAATGACAGCGCCGCCGTCTAGGACAATTATTGCTGTCACAATGGCCCAGCACGACGTGCGCAGACTTGATTATGACAACCTAACCATGACCGGAAACGCAATGAACCCCTGTGGCATTTGGAGGGCGCAGTTTCTCTATCTTCGACTTGGTGTGGGAGCCATGTGTTTTTTTTTTTTCCTCCGTGGTTTTGGGTTTTAATGCTTGGAAAGGCTGTTAGGGCATGCTGTCCCCATTGTTTGGGGGAGCTCCCGGTCTGTTGTTTTTTTCCGTATTTCTCGGTTTTGGTGCTTGGAAAGGTTGCTGCTCGAGCGTGCTCTCCGCAGAAGGCTTGAGGTTTAGAATTGCGCGGCTTGGGGATCGGAATTGCTGGAACATGATGATTGGATGACATGCTGCCCGGGTGAGCTTCTAAGACTTTTGAAAGCAAGCTCCTACCAACGCGATGATGGGACGAGGCTGTCATGCGAGATGCAATTGCCATCGAGGAGGGTCGGGTCTCTCTTGGTGTCAGCTTGCGCGGCTTTAAAACCAAGCGGGGTCGTGGGAGGGCGAAGCACCCCATTGGCAAACATCATAATGATTGGATAACATGCTGGCGTCATGAACTTTGGAAAGACACTCTTACAGGCGACCTCCTGCCAACACGGTGATGGAACGAAGCTCTTACGCAAGCTGCCCGGTAAACTGCTAGGCTGCCTTGCCATCGAAGAGGGTCGGGTCTCTTTCAACGTATGCTGCTTTAAGAAAATGCGGGCGGGAGGGGGGGGGGCATTTGCAATCACAATGATTGGATGACATGCTGCCCGGGTGAACGTTTGGAACCTTTGAAGGCAGCCTCCCGCCAAAACGATGATGGGACGGGTCTTTTTTGAGGTCAATTGGCGGGGCTTTCAAAAAATAGAACGGCTGGGGTGGGTGGGGAACTCTCTTTCTTGTTTTATGTCTTTATGTCTTGTCGATCTTTATCTCTCTATTCATTCCTTAACTCTTCCTGTCTTTCTTTATTTCTTTATGTCTTGTTTTATGTATGTCTTTCTCTTGTCCATTCCTTCCTTCAGTTAATTTTATGTCTGTCCTTTGTTTTCTATATTTCTCTCTCTCTCTCTCTCTCTCTCTCTCTCCCTCTCTTTCTTTATTCCTTCCATTTCCTGTCTTTATTTCGTTCCGTGCGGCATTCTTTCTTTATGTGTTTATCTTGTTCGTTCCTTCCTTCCTTTCGTTCTATAATTATTTGTGTGATTCTTCTTCCTGTCTTGTTCTCTTTCATTGTCAAGTTATCCATTTTGTTGTTCCTCTCGTCATTCCCTTTATTTCCTTTCTTTGATCTTTCTTCTCTTTAATCATGTCCTTCTTGTCTTGCTTTATTTCTCTTGTCATTTCCGTTATCTATTTACTTTGTTTGTGTCTCGTTCTTCTCTTTGCTTGCTTTTCCTCTTGTTCTGTCCTTTCTTTAATACCTTTCTTTCTTTCTTATCGTTCTTTCTCTGGATATTTCCTCTCTTTCTTTTGTTATCTATCTATTTCTCTCTCTCTCTCTCTTCTTCTTCTTCTTCTTCTACTGGCTTTGCCCACTCCCGAAGGAGTAAGCCATGGCTACGCCCTGAAGCCGTGCACGTCCGCAGGTTCCAGCCTGCAAGCGAGGACCGGGATGGCAGACATACTGGGCCCCAACATGTCAAGCATTCTTTCTCTCTCTCTCTTCTTCTTCTGCCGGCGCAAGAGGGGGCCTCCCCCCCTCGCGGAGCACAGCTCCGCGCCCCCCTGGTCCCGCGGTCTTGGTCGGTACCCCAGACAACGATGTGCCACCAATCCCGGACCGTGGCCCCGTACCCAGGACCCTAGATGAAATACGCTACCCTAGGGTCATCTGCTTCATGCAGGGCCCCAGGCACCAAGCACAAACTCACTCTCTCTGTCTTTGTTTCTTTCTGGCTTTGGGGAGACTCACTCTTCTGCTTCTTCTTCTATAGGCTATGCGCGCTCGCAAGAGCACGCCAGGAGACTCTCTTCTTCTTCTTCTCACTGCTCTACCCCTCCACGAGGGAGGGGCCGGGGCACTGCCCCAAGCAGGATGGGGTGCAGTCAACGAGCACTGTGCCAGGCCCCGGTTAATGAGCATACCCGGGAGCGCGCAGACTCGAAGCATCAATAAAGCCCGGATCCAGTACCAATCACTAGCATATTCCCTTGCGCTCCCCGACATGAACCTCACCGCTTCTGGCTACAGCTGTGAGAGCGCCTGTCACTTCCCAGCGGCTCAATTGGTCCCCGGAGCTGTGCAGGAGACTCTCTCTCTCTCTCTTTCTCTCTGTGGTTCTTTCCTTGCTTTGTTTCTTTCTTCTTTCTTTCTGTCTCTCCCCGAACCCAACCCGTCAAAACCAAAAACATACGCAAACAAAAAACATGCAGAAAGATTATACCCTACCCGGCTTTGGTGCGAGGGCTTTAGCTTTTCAAAATTTCTTCTCCTTGCACAATCAGTTAAACGGCTAAGTGACAAGATCGCAACCTCAAGGTTGCACAAATGTGTCAAAGCCACGACGGTTACCAGGATCACGAATTTGGGTGCACCGGGACTGGGCGGGACTGCGGAGAGTGCGGCTTCCAGCCAATGTCAGGCTGCGCTCCTGAGCCGCGGAATCTGCAGTCGGAGTCGCCACCGAGGATCACCGAGGGGTATCAGAAAGGTGGCAGGCAGCTACACAGCCACATCTCTCTGCACAACGCATTTTGTGGCTCAGACTGTGCTCTGGACAGGTGGCGGCCAGTCTTTGAAAAGCTGTTGCGCAAAGACGTGCCCACACACACACACACACACACACACACACACCCGTTAGTAAAGACCCGATCAAATTGGGTCATCATCACCTTCCTCAGAGTCGGATTCCTCCGGCAGCTGAAGGCAGATCCAAATTGCCAGAGAAATTTAGCAGCAGGAAAAGGCTGTCACTAGGTCCTCGCAGCTCTCGTCAGATGCATACTGGGACAGGCCGCACAGACCATTCCCATCATCTGGGTCGCTCGAGCCTGCCCATGCGTGAGTTTACGTGAAACGTCGCTCCCCCGCACGAATGCATTCTGTCTGGGTAGGGCGTCGTTCGAAATGCTGAGCCATATTGCTGACGATGATGCCTGCGTCCACGTTGTTGCTGACTTCCAGGAGACCTGGCAGGATGCAAGCCCCGCCGCAATGCAGCAAGCAGATGCCGCAGTGTGCTTGATCTGTGCCAACTGCTCTTGGACTCGCGTGGCTTTATGCTGTGGAAATATGTTACGGAACAGAATCGACCAGGCGAATGCCCTCAAAGTGCTCCTGGCCATCCACAACCCTATGCAGACAGGCTTAGGCAGGAACAAGATTAAAGTCCTTTCCAACATGTTTTTTTCCAAATAATGCCTGGCCCCCTCTGTCCTAACATACAACGACAAGTCACGTGCAAGCAGGCTATAGCAGGATTGGAGGGGAGCCACCTAAGTAGCCACATAGTCTCATGCTGGCAAGAACAAGCCACTGCAACTCCACGACAACAAGCCCACGGCCTCCTCTTCAAGTTTGCGGTACTAGTCTTTAGTGGAAAAGAGCATGGCTTTTGAATACGTGCGAAGCAGTACTTGCTGAACTCCGTCAGGAAAATTTGATCAGCTTACTGTAGAAAACGTTAGGCGTAGCTGCATCGTTGATTTTTTGCGGTTTGGGGCGAGCAATTATTTTTGCATGTTTCCTTGCTGTGCCACTCTTTGTCAGTTCCTGCGCAGCACAACAAACACCAGCCCCATCCCATCACCAAGCAATTGGAAAAACACCTCTGGCAGAATTAGGAAGAACTGCGCGTGATTGGTTGATGGCCTGGCCTGTAGCTTCTTCCTCGGCCGTCAGCACCATATCATTTTTGACTGGGCGAAGGCAGGCGCCATCTTCGCTGGCCTGGTCTGGCCTGGAGCGGATTCGAAAGCAAAGTGCAACGACGCCTAGCACATGAGAGCACATGCAAGAAAGAAGAGATGAGAACTTACATAAGCCTCCGCACCCGAAGTCCTTGAGGAAGAGCTGGGCGCTCCAACGGCGAAACCTTTGGCTTGGCTTCGCGAGGCTCAAAAAGTGCCGGCCTGGACCAGCCGGCCTGCATCTTGTCTGAGTATGGCGATGGTGCTGAAGCAAAAGCTGACAGTGCGTCAGTGCGAGCCTTGGGCAACACAGTGGCTTCTACTACGTCATGATAGACATGTGCCAACCTTACCCCGACAGGACAGCAGCACTGCAAATGCATTCGCAGCAAGAGATGGCTCCCCGTTCTCACAGACACGTCCTGCTCCTGCAGTCGGCGGTACTCACCCGTCTCCTCCTGTACACTGAGGTAAACCAAGCCGTGCACTTCCACATGCTATACACTCTCTTTAAAAAACGCACTCCCGGGCTTGCTGGATGAGACAAATCCATGCGAAGGCTGCCAACGAACGCAGAGACCGGAAAGGCCACCTTCAAGCGCTTGGTGGTGGGATCCGCCATTCGTAAGGCCTCGATTTCCACTTTGAAGTAGCAAATCCTGTGCTTTGTGCTTGGGTATTATAGGGGTCTTTTCCATCACTCGTTCTAGTTCGTTGCCCATGTCCATTTCAACACTGCACACTCTTCTTAGACAAAGATCAAACGTGGCTGGTGTTCTTGCTCCTGGCCAGCGCCAACATCCTTCCGTTGGCAATCCACACATTGAGGCGACAGCTGCATTTGCTTCTTCTGCCGCAAAACGAGGAGGATGCTTTTCTCCTACCTGCTTTCTCTAGTCAAGCTGTCTAAACAGCTTGATCGGCATTTTCAAACACTTGAACACAGACGTGCCTTTGATTGCAACTGCCAAATTAAAGCCCGCTTGTCGTTGGCAAGGCCTTTGAGGCACAGCGTCTTGCCTTGATCAAGTAAGGCCCCGCATGCAAATTCTCCTTTATCATCCTTTATCAATCACGCTCGGCTCTTGGCTCTTGCTGCTCACGTTGTCCTCCAACCTGACCTGGAACATCAGCCATGCACGAAAAAAATCTGCAACCAGGCTCGGGCCTGATCCTCCGCCAGCCCAAGCTGTGATCGGAGGAATCCACTTAGTTCGCGGTTGCCCCGCCTGAAACGTCTCAATTCCAGACTCTTTGACGTCCGTCTGTTCGCATGTTCCGGCCCCCTCTTGTTGGGCTCGCCAATGCTCACAATGATGACCTCAGAGTTTACCTGAATAGGCAAGCACGGTGAAGTCTAGCACTTAGAGATCCACACGCCTCGTCAATGCAGTTGTGCGACTGCGCAGCTCGAACAACCAAGGTCAGCTTGGCGTTGCATAGGCCTTTCTCATCCTGTGGCAGCTACCATGTTCGGACAAGCCTGGGCTTGGAAAACTCGAAATGTTCCTTTCACCTTTAATGATCTGCTCTTTCCTGGGGCCCAAATTGAACGGAAGACCAGCCTCAGCATCATCTGCCAATACCAGTACGGCCTCTCGCATGAAAAGCTTGCCTCTGAGATCCGAGCCGAGCATGTTGCAAACGGCGATGTCTAGAATTGCATGCCCATGACCTTTACATCAGGCCATGGCTTTCTACTTCCTTCGGTACGTCGGCAATCGGAGAGCTGATATTATGTTTGCATGGAGACTTTAAGGAGAAAATAGTTCTCGGTGTTGCGGATGGCTTGGGGCTGCAGTGCTTTGTCGCCTGACATTTCTGCTAAGCCTCACACGAAGGTTCATCTTACAGGGCAATCTTATGCGAGACCAGCTTGCACAGCAAGAACTAGGTGAGGGGTAGATCAAACCGCACAGAACCCCTAGCCGTGCTTTCTTCAGAGCATTGATATTGCTCAAGCAAACTCATCCATAAAAATGAGAGAACGGCAGGTGACGGTAGTGAAGGAATCCGTGAAAAGTGGCATTTGCTAGGCGAGGCGAGCCCACGAAGCCCACGAAGCGACGTAGCACGCTGATGTTGAGTCGGAGCGCGAGCCCGGCCCATGCCATCGTTTTAAACTTGGCGTGTGCAGCTGAAGCTGTTCAGCTGTCGGACGATGATGCTCAGGTGTGCAACATGTGCAAAAACAGGCGAATGGCCGGAACAGATGCCTGCTGGCACCTCAACATTCTGTTTTCAGCGACATGCAGACCTCTACATGTGGAGCAGTGTGGAAAATCGTGTTATATCGTGCCCCAATGCCATTGCACAAATACAGCACTAGCCTTGCAGCTGGAGCAGATGTGCGATGATGTAGTCCCATCATGGCCGCATGTCTTGGGTGTTCACTGGAGTTCGCTTACCATACTTTCGGATTGCCCCAATTTCTCGCTGCAACCTGCTTCGGACGATGGGAAACTCCAGTACTCAGAACACATAGGCGCTTTGATCAGCCTTGCCATTGCTGCGGACTTGAGATGGTTACCAAAAACGTTCCGTGGAGGCAATCTTTACTCTGGCTGCAAAGCAAGCAAGCATGGATGACATGGCCATGATTCTCTTCTTTCGCCAGCTCCTGCCTACAAAGACCACGACACAACTATCTGGAGCCTGCAACGTTTGTTGCTAGGCTGTAAACAATCGAAGCCAGCAGGAGCAGATTCACCTGGTGTTTTTCCAGGATTCCACTGGCCTGTTTAGCCGAGCTAAATTCTTGAATCATGCGGGAGAGCTGCAATCATGATGGCTCAGCTTTCCTGCAACATAAGTGGTCTTGTGCATTGTTGTGCTACCTAACGAAGGACTCCTCCAAAAGCAGCACGACTCCATGTCAAGGCCTTGGATGAGGCGTCGGACTGCGAAGATGATTCTGTCGAAGAGTCGCTGGAGTTGTCCTCCTGCGCTTCGGCCTGCCCCGAGCGGCAACAACTGCCGCCTCAGAATGAGTAAGACCACTACGAGCCGCTATGCCTGCAACCTCTCCTGCAGCAAGTACCTGCAAGTTGCGGGCCAAGCGTTGACTCAAGCAGGAACAAGCTGACTTGTTGAACACCACGGAGCTATCCACAAGGAAACCACAGCGAACCTTCATGCAGATGAGAACCTCGCGCCTCTATCATCTAGTTTATATGCCGAGCCTTCTATTTCTTTCTCCATCCTTTGCAGTTCTCTCCATTGGTAATCGCTGTCTAGGCATCCACTATCCACGGGCTTTGGGCCCGGGTAACGGGCCGGGCGGCACCAAAAGAATCAATTGATTAATCCAAACGCATACAAGCAAAGAAACGGCTGAGGCCCGGAAAGAAGAGCAACCAAAGGTGCGTGCACACAAGGGAGCTGTGAACGCTGAACCCTTCAGCTCGCCATAAGGGGTCTGAGGACTGAAGACGGCAATACTGTCCGTCCAGCCTGCTCGACTCTCAATCCACGTGAGTGGCATTGGGAGGTGAAGAAGACCAAATGTATCAGATTGGCAAGATGGTGAAGGCTGTAGTTGCGACCTGTACCCGCCACACAGGCCATCATTTGGCATCCCACCAGATCCGACTCTGAAAGCGTACGTGGTCTGGAACTGAAGGATGCCTTGAAGAACCGAGAGTAGCTCCGTCATTGGGTGACGCATCGAATTTGATAGGCATCAAAAAATTGACCAAAAAATCAAGAGAAATTCATATTTGCGCCTGGCACCAAAACTAATTTGATAAGCATCCGGAAAATATTTAAATCCCAGAATAAGATGCCATGAGACTTTAAATTAGCAAGAAAAACGAGCAGAGGGAATGGTAGTAGTCGTAATACGAATACGAACCAGAATAATAACAATACATGAAAACAAAAGCACCATGTAGTAGTAATGATGGCGAGTAACAAAAACAGTCGTAATGCAAGTCAGAATTGAGTTTTACTTATCACGCAGCACGTCAGTATTGCTTAGCGAGTTATGGCACAGCGAGCGGTGCCTCAGGTGGGTCACCTGCGCCTGGCCCCCGCTCAACTACGCGTAGCCTCCAAAAACCATGGCACGGCAACAGGGTCTCCCTACAGGGAAGCAGGAGTAAGAGTAGCTGTGGTGGTGGTGGTGGTGGTGGTAATAATAGCAGGAGGAGTAGTAGGAGTAGGAGCAGCAGCAGCAGCAGCAGCAGCAGCAGCTGCAGCAGCAGCAGCAGCAGCATCAGGAGGAGTAGTAGTAGTAGGTAGTAGTAGTAGTAGTAGTAGTAGTAGTAGCAGCAGCAGCGCAGTAGGAACGAGAGAAGAAAATAGTAGCGCTAATAATTGTAGATGTAGAGCATGGGAACTGGCGTCTAGAAGGATTTGGGTGTTTGGAGTTTAGGGGTCAGGGTCTGGGGTTTGAGGGTTAACTGTTTAGGGATTAGGTTGTTCAGGAGCAGGAATCTAGGTTCAGGGCTTAGGAGTTCAGGCGAGTGAATCAGAAACCAATCCTCCACACACGCTTAATACCATTGTTTTGCACCGTCTATGCTCACATATATGATAATAAATGCATATACAAAAACATATGGACTATTACAAGCAATACGTGATACGCGACGTACAGGACATTCAGAATCACCCGTGAAGTTCAGAGGTGGGGGCTTGCGGTAGGCTGAAACGTTCTTGAAGGGAGTTGCGCGCGTATTTGTGGGGTTCAGATTTCGGGAGAAAATCTCACATATTTTGCTTCTTGTAAGATTTACTTAAACATCACCTAGGAAGATCTCTCTAGAACTTGGGGGGACGGTGGGGAAGCTCTAGACACTCCAGAACGTTTAGGATTTAGGGCATAGGGTGCCTTAAGCTGGACTTTTACCCTAAGAGCCAGGTTTCTGAGTTCTCTAACCCTCACAAAGCTATAGACTTTTGTTTGCAAAAGGACTTGTTATGTAGACCTCCAGGGACTCCAGGGTTTCAAGGTCATCTACTCAGCTACTACCCACCTGCTAAGCTTTCTGTCCCCAAAAAGCCCACTTATTCAACATAGTTCTGTAATCTTCTGTATCCTCGAGTAAAAGGAAACGGTACAATTTAACCACAATTCTACGCCGGGCAACAGATAGGAACCCCAGCTACAAGCGACCCAGCTTCGTTGAGAAAGGCGGTGGGAGAAGTCTCACTCTACATTCCCTGGTCCTCTGGACCAGACATCCTACACTTCAATCCCCAACCCTGAATCTCTAAACCCTACATTGCCCACAAACCCTGGTCTAGGGCCCAACCTAAAAGAATGGTGTAATGCACTGAAATCCACAGCCAGGAAGGCCATCATTGTAAATATTTTGGGGGGTCCAGGAAACCCTCAAACGCCCTAAACCCTCAAGCCGTACACCCCAAACCCAAAAAACTTTAGACCTAAACCCAAAACCCGAAGGACCTAAATCCTACTCCAACCTAAATCCTAGACATGTAATAGCTATGCACGAGGACCTTGTTTGTCTCGAACATGTGCTGGTCCGATTCGTCCTGATTAGGCATGTGCCGTGGCGTCAAATAAAGGAGTACCAAGGTTTAGGGTTTAGGGTAAGTTTAGGGTTCAAGGTTTCGGGTTTAGGGTTGACGGTTTCTGGGGTGTGTACAGGTAACCGATTGGTCTCCAAGCCACACACTGCCCGAAACTGTAAACATCAGTCCAAAACCCAGCACTCTGGCTTCACGGCACCTCAAAAATTCCTTTGAGGTTTCGGCAGATTCCGACAGAAAGGCCAGAACTGTTCCCGTCGCCCTGCTATACCGAAGCTTTTTATAAATCAAGAGCCAAAGCATACCTGAGAATGTTATGCGGATGAGACGTACGTCGGCGTTATGGATGTTTGCCTAACCTCTGAACTCCTAACGGCGGTTTAAGATGTAGGGTGCGATGTGGCTCCGTGAAACATGAAGCCTGGATCCTTACCAGAAGAAGCGTTAAAACACTTGACCACATGACTGTGTGAGAATCTCCAGATGCTGACAAACTCAGAAATCCACACCCGCGCCCCCAATCTGTGGTTGATACTAAAACTGCTGCATGACCTTATATACCTTACACCTTGGATAGTGCCTTAAACCCAAACTCCTTAACCCTGAATGTCGAACCCCATGTAGTATCAACAGTGGCACCCACATCCGAAGAACCCTGGCTGCTGGAAAGTCCTAGTGTAGGCTTATATGAACCGCCCCCCCCCCGCCCTGATCATCATTATCATCATAATCATCATCATCATCTCTTATAGTCCGTATCAGTGGGTGAGGAGTCTACCTAAGTCCTAGCTCAAGGGGAAAAAGAACTATCTAGCAGTGGAAAACACTAGGATGCTTTTCAGACAGCATGATGAGAGAAGGAGTTCCGTTGGCGAGTTACCGAAACCCTACACTGGAATCCTACGAAACTTAGTGAACACAATGAACCAATCCAAATGAAAGATATGGTAGCATCTCAGAAAGTAGTTCCATGAGAAGTGAGTTCTAGTCCAACAATTAGTATCAGGGGTGTAGGGTTTAGGACTCCTGTAAACATGCAAGAGCGAAGATTTATAATCAGAAAACTATTCAATAGAAATTGTCATGAAGCTGAGGAAACTCCCAAATGCTTAGATTCACAAAACACGTGCAACGATGGAAGTACGATGCACATCAAATCTAATCAGCTCAAACCACTGCCTGTATTCATGCACTTGTTCAGTTTATTCCACAACCCAATAAACCAGCGATATGGAACTAGCCCGTAATATTGAAGTATAAGAGACGCAAAAAATCCAAGGATAACCGCAACTGTGAAGCAAGGCTTTGAAAAAATCAGCCCTTTGTAGGTTACCCCGCTTAGATTTATTCTGAGTAGGGTTGTAACTCAAGTTATGAAGCCGTTACTGAACCCCATGAGCCCTGTAGTAAAGCCCCTAAACCCTAAACCCCAAACCCCAAACCCTAAACCCTTAACCGCGTTCCCCAAGCCCAAACTCCTCCAGTGCATTGCGCAATGCCGTCAGCGTCGCAACGAGCTCATCTGGGGCCTTGTTGTGGGGTCTGCAGCTTAGGGTTTAGGGTTTAGGGTTTGGGGTTTGCAGCTTAGGATTTCGGGGTTAAGTCTTTGAGGTGTGAAAGGCCCTTAGGTTGAGGGCTTAGGCTGGACCGGGAATGTAGCTAAATCATGGCCCAAGACTCCTAAACGAAAGTTCAGATGACCATGATTCTACACACCTGCAATTTTTCAATTACTATATGCCCCCCCCCCCCCCAATACTTATTCGGAGTCTCCTACTATGCCCTGCATACCTGAATCAACCCTGATTGCCCCTAACTACCCTTAATTGAGGGGGGAAGGTTAACGTGGACAGGGATGGTGGCAGGCAAGCCCATGAAATATGGTGGAGGGATTGTGGCTTTTCTGGCAGAGCCTCAGTGGAGAAATATTCCTTTAGGGTCCAGGGTGGTCCCCATTGACAGGCTTGCCCTAAACTCTAAATCCCAATCCCAAGCCTCATGTCTCTGCATCGGCAGCATCACTCTAAGGATACCAGGCACCTTTTCCAATAGTGGTATAGGCGTGTGGGCCGCAAAATTGCCATGTCGACCTCAACTGCAACGCCTCCCTGGAGGATTGAAAGCAGGCCTACTGTTAGGGGAATGCATCAACATGTTTTTAGCCTTCAGGGTTTAGACTGCTCTGAACTATTTTGGGACTTCCAGAATGGGCCCCTTTGCAGGACAGCTGTCTTTGCCGGTCCCCGTTGGAGGGGCCCCAGTTCGCTTGGCAGAAGGTAGTCCTGTGCTGTCCCGCACGAAGTTCTGAACCATGACGCCCTGGATTTCAGACCTGCAAACCCCAGCCATCAACCCCAAGCCCTAGACACCTATCATAAATTCCAAACCCATGAGCTACAGAAGGGGGCCAGTCATCGCCATCTATCAAATCTCATCCGGGCATTGCAGGCGGGGTGATGTCCAATTGTTGCTTCCCGAAGTGAGGCAAACCACGAAGATATCTTTTCTACCCTGGTTTAAGAAAGCCCCGAAGCTTCAAGG